AATTATTTATGTGTACACATATATCACTTACATTATTCAATACATCCTTTGTACTGAAGTATTCAAAATTAAAATTGTAATATAAATGATTTGCTGTGGCCAATTGTTTTCATTGCATTTACAGACCCTTGTTGATACCACTCTGATACCACCCCATGAATGAACTGACTTGCTTGTAGAACCACGCTACACAAAGCAGATAGCAACACCTATAAAAATGTAAGCATAGACATTTAAAAAAAGGACAGCTACTGTATTTTGTATATTTGACATTTTTATTTAAACAAAAAGCCCTAACAAAACAGCAGGGCTCTATTTCAGTATAAACTATAGAACAAAATACAGCAACAGCTTATTAAAATAATCATAAATAACATAATGAAAATAAATATATTGCAATGCTCAAAACAGCAGCAAATAACAGTCTCTATCATAAAAAAAACATAATACAAATAAATGTATTGTAATGTGCAAAACAGCAGTATTAAACAGTCTCTAAGAAAATTACCACCGTCAACTATCAAACTGCAACTTTTTCTTTTCAGGGCAGATTGGCATTGAGGAAGACCAAGTGCCTCAGCTTAGAGGGGTTGATCCGGTGTCTTCTCTCTGTTATTATCTGCCCTGTTTTAGAAAAGATCCTTTCTGAGGGGACTGATGTTGCTACAATGCACAGTCACCGTGCCATGCCCTTCACAAGTCGTGGGTACACTGAAGCCTTGGACTCCCACCAGCTCTGCGGTTCTTGGGATAAGAGGCTCCTCCAGATAGGACCTTACTTCCAGCAAAGCATCTGCTGAGGGATTCCGTCTTGCAACGTCTTCTGTTGCTCTTGCATCAAAGAGCCTCCAAACAGCAGACATTTGTGGCTCCACTTCTGGTGCCCTTGTTCCCTCTTCTCCCTCTTGGCCTCCTGGTGGTTGAGCTGGCTGGCTGCTGAGGTCGCAACGAGCTGCTGCTGCTGTTACTCTCTGAAGAGCCTCATCGACAGCGCAGTTATCATTAAAGGCCAGCCTTTTGAACTTTGGATCGAGTATAGTAGATTCTGAGAGGACAGTGTTGTATTCCATTCTGTGGAACTTTCTGTCCATCGACGTTGAGAGAGCAGTCACCAACTCTGTCACTTTCCTCTTGGTCACTTGTGTCTGGTTGTAGGCTGTGATTTTCTGCAGACCCCTGCAGAGGAGTAACATTTTGGAGGATGTCACATAGCTGAAAAAAGAGAAAACAGTGACTCAGAAAAAATGATGCTGTGTTTTATTATGTGGTATATGGACTTTGCTCAGTTTATTCTTGTTTAATATTACTGACATTCACATCTAAAATGTTCCTTACTATGTTATTATATTAAAAAAAGTGTCTTCCAATTTCCTTTTTTTGTGATTTCCTACCTATTTAGGGTTAAAAAAACATCTTGCAATTTAGACTTTTTTAATTTAATTTGATTTTTAAATGTTACATTATGTCCACTGTAGAGGACGTCGGGACCATTTTAGTTTGAAAAGACAGACAAAATGAACAGATGGACTATGTAACGTATTATGGTTATAGAGTGATATTAATACAATAATACATTCACCTTTATTTAAAACATGAATAAGTAATTGATCTGAACATTGCTGTTTATTTGATCAATACAAAACTAGTTTGGTTTCTGGTGAATCTTTCCAGATCTTCAAAGACTTTGTAGTCAATGTGGTCTCCATTTGACCATGCTTGAAACAAAGCTTGCATTCCTGAGGCAATTCTCATTTTTCGTGGCTCCACTTAAAATAAAAACAACAATAAGACATACGTGCTACTCTTGGCCCACAGAGGGCCATGTCTTTCCAACTCGTCCCTATCTGTCTCTCTGTCTGTATCAACAATTATTCAACAATATTTGACTTCTCCTCCTGCTTCTATAACATTTTGTTTTTGGTATGCCAGCCATCATGGGACGGGTGGCGCAGTGGTCTGTGCGTTTGATCATCAGATCAAGGGGGCGTTGGGGAACTCCAGTTCGAAACCCGCTCCCGCCCCACTGCGTCAGGCCGTTGTGTCCTTGGGCAAGACACTTCACCCGAATTTGCTCCTGTGGGTAATGTCCACAGTAGATGACCATTACATGTATGATCTGTATGTGTAATGTGTATCTGTAAAGCGCTTTGAGAGTCTTTGATAAAGCACTATAATAAATATAAGGATTATTATTTTGGATGAAAAGAAAGAGGAACTTCCCAGCATGCAATTTTAACCAATGACATATCACTGGAAAGCCCAGGATGTCCTTTGTACAGCACATCAGGGATTGATAGAGTAGCTCAAAAGACTAAAAGGAGATGCATGTTGACCAAATGTCCACTACAGTGGACATTTTCAATGGGCTGGGTCCCAGGAGGATATAATAATAAATAATATAATAACAATTGTCAACTGTACCTCTCTGAGCTGATTTCCACGTTGACCTGCTCAAAGGGTTCCAAAACAGTGCAGGTCTCCTGTAGTGCCTCCCATTCTCCTTGATCCAGAGCATCCATATGTGCATTGAAGAGGGCCAGGGTAGAGATGATTGCATCCTTTGACTCCAGAACCCGTTTCAGCATGTACAATGTAGAATTCCACCTTGTGACACAGTCTTGCTTGAGCCTCAGCTCAGGCATATCCATTTGGCGCTGAGTAGACTTCAACTTCTCTGTTGCTCTTGTGCTCTTATGGAAGAATTCTACCATCCCCTTCACTTTGTCAAGAGTGGGCTTCATGACCTTCAGGGCATCTCTTACCATCAGGTTGATGGTATGCGCGAGACACAAACTGTTCAGTCTGCTGCCGTCTGGCAGGCGTTACCGCAGCATCCGGACTAAAAGCACCAGACTCAGGGACAGCTTCATCCCACAGGCAATAAGACTGTTAAACACCTGAACTGTTGAAACTATTTCATAACATTCATCTGCTACTTAGTCATTATTTATCTATTATCCAATATATCATCACTATTCCGCTTTCTCACTTTTTAAAAAACTATTTTTCTTTTTGTATTACTTTTAATATAGTATATTTTAATATTGTTTTAATATTGTCTGCTTATCTGTATTATTATGTTGCATTGTTGGAGAAGCCTGTGACCTAAGATTTTCAATGACATAATTACTCTGTAGCTATGTTCGTTTGACAATAAAGAACCTTGAACATGGGTGGTGGGTCCATTTCAAAAGTTTAATGGCTTTGGTTATGTTAGCTGCATTGTCACTAACACAGCAAGCCACTTTATTTTCAATGTCCCACTCTTTTGCTACTCTTAGCAGTCCCTCTGCCAAGTTTTCTGAAGTGTGTCTGTCGCTAAACTCAAAACAGTCCAGAAGACAGACCACCGTTTTATAATTTTCTATAAAGTGACATGTAACAGACATGAAAGAGGTGGTGGTTCTTGATGTCCAGTGGTAAGGCAAACTGCAGTAGCTTCCTTAACCCTGGCCAGCAGTGAAGCACGTTCTCTATCATACAGTCTCGGAAAGATTTTTGAGAGAGTGTTTTCCTGCTTGGAGGAACATACATTGGATTGAGAGCCTGTGGGAAGCTTCGGAATCCCTTGTCCTCCACAATGGAAAATGGTTGGAAATCACTTGCAATTATTTTGGCCAAGTCTTCATCCACTATGTTCTGTCTAGCTGGGGTCATTGCCTTTGATATAAATTGGCTTATTGAGCTCTGTGTATATGTTGGTTTTTGGGTACCTGATGCATGGGGGGTAGATCCTGTAGCTGCAGCAACAACAGGTGGAGTAGACGCACTGGCAGAAGCAGGCAGTCTGTTGGCTGCCTGGTCAGATAGCCGCACTGCCTCATGGGTCCACGAACAGTCTTCCATTAATGGCTCAGTTAGTTCACAGTGTCCACTGTCTCCCTCTCTGGCAATTTCCCCTGCTTTGGATGTTCCTGCCCCAATCCCTGTTCCTCTGTCAGAGTCACTGTCTGCCCATCCTGGTCCACAGCAGTGTCCGACTGCCAATGGGGGGCTTGCTTCTGGGAGTCTTTAGACCAGTGTGTCGTCTGATTGAGTCCATGACACAACTTGAGTCTGTTCTAGGGGTTGATTCAGGCCCCGGTGCTGTTATGGAGAAATTGGGGTGGCATAGTATTGACATTTTGTTTTATTGTTATTTTATGAATAATGTAATTTTTCTTTTTTTTCTTGTGACAAAGGAATGTTTTTGGTTCACTCTGCTGCTGTATGTCACACTTTCTTTTGTGTATCCACATTGTTCGGCCGTATGTGTGATGTATAAGGCATCTCACTTTGTCTAGAGAGGGTGTCATGTGTTATTGCTAGGCGCCGGGTAATGCTCTGATTCTCTTATCCTTTCAGTAGGAAGCTTATATTGCTGATTCCATACACTTTGTTTGTGTATTTCATGGCCGATGTGTTGTATGTGTGGATTGTTTTGGTGCTCAGAATTGTGTGTAATTCTAGGGGGGAGAGAGTAACAGTTGTAAATATGCAGTGGGATTTATTTGTAAATCATTTTGTAATCACACAAATTCTGTGTTCTTCATTTATTGAATGTTCAATACCTGTGCAAGGTGAGAGATCAGTGGGCGGAACCTCTGAAGTGTGGTCGCTGTGCCCAGAGGATTCTTTTTATGGTGACTTCCCCCTTCATATTGTGTCCCTCACGTTTCATCGCCCTTTCTGTAAATGTTCCACGTGAGAGGAGTCATTGTGAGGGAAACTGAATATAAGACTGATTTGTTAAAACACAAAACACAACGCAGAGACCGCTTAACGACACAATACACATATGTGTGTGTGTGTGTGTGGTGTGTGTGTGTGTTGTGTGTGTGTGTGTGTGTGTGTGTGTGTGTGTGTGTGTGTGTGTGTGTGTGTGTGTGTGTGTGTGTGTGTGTGTGTAGGAACATGAACCCCTCCCGGTGAGCAGGAAGAGGGTGACGTCAGTTGTCATTTGGCTCCGCACTGTGTTTGAGAGTGAGAGAGAGAGTGTGTGTGTGTGTGTGTGTGTGTGTGTGTGTGTGTGTGTGTGTGTGTGTGTGTGTGTGTGTGTGTGTGTGTGTGTGTGTGTGTGTGTATATTTACACAGACGGGAATACTGAGCCAAAGGAAGTGCGCCGGTTCTCCGTCTGCGCGTCCTGACTTCCTGCTCTGAGTTGGACAGAAAGGAGCTGCGGACCGCAGCAGCATGGAGCCCCTCACACACACGCCGCTGTAGACTCACACACACATCCCAGACGGACAGAGGTGCGGCGGCCGTCCACAGCAGGGTAGGTACAAGTTTCGATTTACTTTAAACTTTTTCTAAGTTTATAGGGACGCAAGAAAACTGCAATTAGCTTTTATGATATTTGCTCAAACCTGCATGGTTTCAGATATTAACTGTAAAAATGAAATCCACATTGAAGCTGCGCGTAAAATGTTAAATCTGTGCGTAATAAGCGTAAAAGCTGTGCATAAAGGTGGTCGCCTTATGCGTTCTCTGCTTTGGCACATATTACAAATGCTTTTAGTTGCAACTTTCCAAAATAAAGTAATACAAGAGGTTACTGTACGAGCTGTTATGGACACATTTGCCATGGCTCCTCTAAAATCTAGTTGTAGACTTTCTGGTTTGTCTGGACCTCGCAGACTAATTGCCATGCACTTCCGGATTGAAGCTGGCAGCAGACAACATCTTGAAAATGAGTCACTGGTGCAAAACAAAGAACCATTTCAGTTCCAGTAGAACTCCCCCCCCCCCCCCCCCCCCCCCCCCCCCACGTCTGATACATTCCTGATCAGATCATTATAACTGCAGAAGGTGAGCACAGATCAAACACAGTCTGACATAATTCATAGAGGAATTCTCCATATTATGTGTGTATGTGTCTGTGCGTGTGTGTGTTTGTGTCTGTCTTTGTGAAAGTGTGTATTTGTTGAGATGTTGCTCAAAGTAAACTTCAGCATCCACTTAGAGTTAAAAATAACATCTTAATACAAAAACATAGGTGTGTGTGTGTGTGTGTGTGTGTGTGTGTGTGTGTGTGTGTGTGTGTGTGTGTGTGTGTGTGTGTGTGTGTGTGTGTGTGTGTGTGTGTGTGTGTGTGTGTGTGTGTGTGTGTGTGTGTGTGTGTGTGCACGTGCGTGGTGGTTCCCAGTGACAGGACGTCTACCTCCTGCAGGGGGAAGGCCTTTCCCGGGAAGACGCCCCTGGAGCTGAATGACAGGAAGTCCTCGTTTAGACAGACAGCACTGCTCCCCTCACTTAACACACACACCCATGCAGGAAAAGGAAGCGGTGGAGGTTGTGTGTGTTTGTGACGGTGGGTCATTGTTTGCACCACACACACTTTCCCCCCTCTGCTGGGTGGTATCCTGTTAGAATGACAGAGAGAGAAAGGAGGATTTTCATATTTGATTATAATATCAAATATAAATCGCTTCATGTTCTCCAATGCTTCTCCTCTTCTGAGGCTAATGGTTGCCATGGGGATATTCTCATACTGACAAATTAAATCTGTTTCTGATTACTTATTTGTTGTTTGTCTTTTGGCAATAAGTAGTTTGTACTTGCTTCTAATAAAGGAAGATTGAATGAATGAAATCAAAGTGATGGAGAGAGAGACAGGGTGGCGGGGAGAGAGACAGACAAACACATCACTCATCACACACATCACTACATCTCTCATTTTAATTAAAAAAAGATACAAATAATAATAATAACAATAATAATTTTAATTAAAAAATTTGAACGCAGCCAAAGTCTCTGAGTCCATGACTTAAAAGAGTCTGAGTTCATATGCAAGATATAGATTCAATATTTTGTTCACATATACAGTGAGAGAAATGTTGGGGTTGTTTACATGCTTCGATGAATAGTCGATTCTGATTCGTTAATCACAACATTATAGTCTGTTTTTATCCCGAGTAGGAGAGAACTGCTATGAATAACAGACTGTTGGTATGGACATCGTTCATTTAGGGGTGCAATGAAATTATTTTAAATGATTTATTGTGTCCACGGATTAATGTAGCATAAGTATAAGAGACACAACATGTTGAGTCCTGCATCAAACGTTTATTTAGTTTTGCAATAATACCCTGCTTGCTGTACCTCATGCGTTACATGTGTGTGAGTGGCTTCAGTGTGTGGATGTGAGGATGTGGAAAACATGGCAGCAGTGAAAGAGCGTGGTTACCAATTCCTTGTCCTCCCTGCCCACCTACCCTCCTTTCTTTCCGTGTTTCTTAAAATGTCTTCCATGGCATATGAATACCTTTGTCACAATCTGATGAAGGACCCAAATGCAGCACTCGAGAAACCAAAGAGTATTGACAATATACTTTATTGGTATTACCAGAGCAGAGGGATACCAGCAGAACAGTAACAGCCGGATGACGTGCAGGCAAGCGAACCGGAGGACAGCGGGCAGAAGGTGAGTCAGGGCCGGGCAGAGGGTCAGGGAGCAGGCGAGGCGGTCAACGTAGGTACAGGCAGGGTCAGACAGCAGGCAAGGCAGGATAGTCCAAGGACAGGCAGGATCAGGGATCAGGCAAGGCAGGATAGTCCAAGGACAGGCAGGATCAGGTAAGGCAGGATAGTCCAAGGACATGCAGGTCAGGGATCAGGTAAGGCAGGATAGTCCAAGGACAGGCAGGTCAGGGATCAGCAGAGCAGGCAGGTCGGGGACAGGCAGGGTCAGAACCGGGTAGGCAATCTGATGACAAACGCGTGAAAGACTAGCATGAAGGCAAAGTAGGATCTGGCAACGGGTGTGTGTCTGGTGAGGGTTTAAATACTGCCAGTGACTAATGGGTGCCGTAGAGAAAGAGAGTGAGCAAAAACGTGTGTGTGGTTAACAGGTGAGACAGGTGAATGGAAAACTACTGGTGAATGATGGAGCAGACTGTGACAACCTTAACAGTCTAAGATGAAATCGTTTTAAATTATAAAAACATTTAAATACATCTAAATACCATGTAAATAGATATAAAGTACCTTTCAGTTACTTTATATTATTCTGCAACAATTTCCTTGACATGTCATGCAAGAATGAACTCATTGAATTTAAAGTTTATAGCTGCATTAATCAGCAATAATAACAATGATAGAAGTGTTGCGAACATTGACAAAGCAGTAGATGATTATCACCTAACAACATGCCTCCAAATGAATGTTAATGTTATGTTTGCACACATTTGAAACAACAGGGAGTAATGTAACCTCCTAATGTAATGTATAACTGTTCAAAAAGTGCTCAAACTTCACGTGTGCTAAAAGTCCAATATATAATATATAATATTTGTGCTGTAAAGTATTGCATTTTGTTCACTACAGAATGGTTGTCTAGTGACTGTCCTCTCACTGAGTCTTGCCTCTCCTCTGCAGATCGCCAGTCTCTCCTCCGTCATGGAGAGCTCCATCACTCTCTGGCAGTTTCTGCTGCAGCTGCTCATCGACCAGAGCCACCAACATCTGATCTGCTGGACGTCCAGCGACGGAGAGTTCAAGCTGCTGAGGGCAGAGGAGGTGGCCAAGCTGTGGGGGCTGCGCAAGAGCAAGACCAACATGAACTATGACAAGCTGAGCCGAGCCCTGCGCTACTACTACGACAAAGTATGCACATTTTCAAATGATTGCATTGTTCTTGCTTTGGTGTTTATCATCGTCCTAAGGGCCTTGAAACCCAACTGAAATTAAAATTCGAAATCTTGTCTTGTTGCTCTGCAGAACATTATAAAGAAGGTGATCGGCCAGAAGTTTGTCTACAAGTTTGTGTCCTTCCCTGAGATCCTTAAGATGGACCCTGCAGCAGTGGAGTCAGGCCACAGTGAGGGAGGGGGGGGGGGGCTGTCAGAGCCTGAGGCTGAAGACGAGGATGGGGGTGGGAGGAACCAGTACCACCTCTCAAGTATGTACTCCTCCTTCCCCGTCAGCTCCCTGCAGCCCCCCTTAGAACCTCATCGTCCCATCAAGACAGAACCCAGAGCCGATCGCCATCGCGACAACTCCTCTGTCATCAGATTCGTAACAAACCGTGGCCACTCCTCCCTACCCCCCACTCCACCCCCATCCTCAACTGAGACCTCTGATTTCTCCAGACCATCTCCTCGGCTGGCCCGCTCTTCCTCCTGCTGCTCCTCCCCGCCACAGAGCCCCGCCCACACACAGTGGAAGGGGCGGAGCTCAGAGACTGATGAGTTAGAGCTGACTGCTCAGCCTCTGAACCTGTCCTCTGGGCAGAGGGAGAGAGTGAGGTTGCATGGTGCACCAATGCCAGAGAGGATTAGATTGGCCAATAGACGAAAACACAAAGGCTTGGAAATCTCTGCCTCCTCTCTCCTGCTGACAGGAAGTGACCTCGTCTCTATTGCTCTCAACAGCCCGGCGCTGCCTTCAGGCTCCCTGACCTCTGCCTTCCTTACCACACAGGTAAAAACATCACACAGAACATATAACACCAGACCATTCACACATAGCTGTCCTGCAATACAGGTGGTTTGAGCAAAGACGAGAAGAACAAGACTAGGTAGGAAGATACATTTTGTGAATGAAGGAAGTTAAGCTTGTAGACAGGGAGGAGATGGAAGGAGGTGAGCTGGAAGAAGAGAGGAGGTGAGGGAGGAGGAGGAGGTTTATAAGTAAAGCCATATGTTCCTGAAGCCCCTGATTCACTGACATACCAAGTCTGTCTACATGCAGGAATTCAGCTGATGTATAAATAAATACAGATGGAGCAATGATGGGCTTCTGAGTGTACACTATATAGTTAATGGAAGCAAAAGTATATGCTAAATCAATCATTTTCATTTCATTTCTGATTTTTGTTTGTGATTAAGTGTTAGCAAAGAGCTGTTGGTTATTATCTACAGCCCCTTATTCACTTCCACCAGAGGCCTGTACTAGAAGCAGGATGTGCGGTTAGCGAGGTGCCTACAGGGTTAACTCAGAGTTTTCGGTACTAAGACGCTGGTTCACTTCTTGCCAGGGAAGATCGCCATGGTAACTAATGCTAAACACCTAATTTGATCCAGGGCAGGTTATGTTTGAGATAAGAAATGTGTTTAATTCAGGGATGTTCAAGGTTTAACTTCTTTATATTTGTCAAATATTATTATTAAGGTTTGCTTGAGTTACGGAGTTGTTATCCGCTTAGCGAGACCTTGTTTGTTAGGGTTAGTTAAGTCAGATAACACAAAGATATCCAGGGTCTGTTGAATTCTTCGTACAGGCCTCCGGACAGAACGGTCCCTGTAGTTATCCCTGTTCATCAGAAACCACTTTATGGTGATTACAGGGGTCTCTTTAGTCAAGCCGTGAGCTCTAGTTCAGAAATCAGACACATCTAACTACTGACGGTGGTACACCATAAGCCAGTCCTTAGAAAGTAGCTGGAAGCAAACTAGACTCAAACTCCTGCTGAGTGGTCCAAACAAAGAAGAGTTGAGAAACTAAAATTACCTGAGAAAAATGGAACTGGCAAAGCACAGCTTTTAAGAGAAAACAGATCCTCAAATGTATTTGTTAACATTTTAACTTTTCTAAAAGAAACATTTGAAGAGGATTTTGAGCTTAGAGGTTTCTGGCTGTTGTGATAGAACCAACCGTCTAATGTTTCCATAAAAGAACCAGACAGAAAACCAAACTGGCCTTAGGCAAATATGAAGTGACAGAAGAAAAAAAAAATAGATCTCATGAATTGTGTATGAGCAGAGCTTCCTGACCTGTTAAATCAGTCTGACTGAGAGCCCAGGTTGACTCCGGGCTCTGAGCTGGGGGAACTCCTCTCTGGACTTACTGCCAGAATAAACATCCATCTCAATCATTTCCATCCTGGTTTATTCATACTATTTCCATTATGGCATTTGTCAATGCAGGCTCCATCTGGTCTGCTGCTCACTTCTAGTTCTCTACTCTCCAATATCCATTTCTGGTCAAGCCTGAGCCCAATGGGACCCCTCAGCCCTGCACAACTACAGAGCCATGCCCCCCTCTTTCAGGTAAACACACACATAAACACTCACAAACATTTGGTATTGCTGCACACTTTGAGGGACTCATTGACGGCAGTGTAGCAAATGCAAGGGCTTTTATAAGTGGGCAAAAGACTCACTCATCAATAGATGTTACAAGTAGAAATCAGGGGCAGTAAACACACCCCTGCTGAAGTTCATCCACTCGGGGGGTTTGCTGCTACAAACTTACTTGGCATCTTTCGACAGTAGTTGATGGTAGCTGATGCTATGAAATGTTAGCAAACTGTAAATACTGTAGGTGATGCTGTCAGTTTACTGACCCTAAACCTCACTTGGTTCTCCTCAGTATTGGGGTGCAAAAAAAACACTTGCAACATATTCACTAGAGGAAAAATATAAATATGTATAACTTATTAAGTTATTCTTGAAGTCAATGGGAATTGAGAAATTCTTTAGTACAAGCTTAGCATCAATACATGTTACCTTTTATCGCAGAATGAATGTTAACTATGGTTTTATTGTGTGTTTACATAATTATCAGTTGATATCACTTTTTCAAATACAAAAAATGGAATGCACACTTTACTCTGCTTTCATGCCAGGTTTCATTTCTAACTATCGTGTGGAAAAACAATCTAACCTTCCTTTAATGGATGAACCTTTCAGAGAAAACACTGGCCTGCTGGTAATGGATACTAAATATTTGTATCTTTATGAACAGCAAATCCCTCTGTTCCAACGGCAGGAACTTTAGTCACTTTACACGGCAGACTTACCTCAAAAGTCGTTTTTTAAACAGTCGTGTGTCTGTAAGTGTGTGTGTGATACACTGCGTGCCAGGGTTTCACAATAAGTCACAGATGTTTCCGTTCTAAAGTGGACAAAAAGAGGGGGCAACTTCCTGTTGGCTAGGGGGAGCGGACTGGTTGGTCAGGAACCTCTCCCATCAACACACACACACACACACACACACACACACACACACACACACACACACACACACACACACACACACACACACACACACACACACACACACACACACACACACACTCGATGTTGGTGTTCTATCAGGTTTAAAGAGCATACACTCCTGTGAAGCATCAGCAGTCACACGAGAAGTGATGTGATACAACATTACTGTAGAACTAGGTAGTATTTTATAACTTGTGTAGTATTGTTAGTGGGACTACTTTATATCAAATAATAAGCTGTGTTGACTTTCTTTCTTTAGTGACTCAGGGATGTGGTTTCTCTAACTGTAATCTTCACTCTCTTAAAATGTCATATAAACATTCCTTTTCTCATTTCTAATAATTCATATATGACCAGTCAGCTCCATTGCCACTTTGGTTTGTGTCTTTAGTGCAAAAGTGTCTTTTAAAATGAAAAACCAGGTTTTTCCTCATCGGGCTGAAGTAGGCGTTTTTATTTATTTAAAATTAAGAACTGACTTTATATAAGTAATTCACCACTTTCTTCCTGCAAAGATTTAATAAAATACACAGTCATTTTTATGAAAGCCTGCAACCAATGTGGAACTATTGCAATATATTTTATACAGACACTGAATATTCCAGGATGCTCTTCATAAAAAAAGGGCAAGTGTTGAATATCATCTGTTAACCTCTGATTCCATCCCTACAGTTCCCCTCACTGCTGAATGGACACATCCCTCTGCCTTTACCCAGCGTGGACTCTCCCTCTCCTCTGCAGCTCTCCTACATTTCCCATCAGTCCTGATGGGACTGGAGCTAGGAGAGTGAATTGGGCCTCATCCAACGTTAGCCGTCAAACATCAGCCTGAGATGCACTTCCCTCACTGATGATACACAAGCTTTACCTGGAAGCTTTTCTCCCTCACAAGAGTATTTGTATTAGACATGTCATTGTGTGCAGTGTGTACACTACATTTGTGGGTTTTTTTTCATGCAAAGACATTTACCAGAGGTCAGACCTCATCTAATTGTGTGCCTCATCTCATTGTACTTGGTTTGAACTTCAGTGATACAGACTGGTTGCAATTGAACCAGTTAACCCTATGTATCCCCATGCCCTGCCTAATATCAATATCCTCACCAATGCCCTAAAGAAAAGAAAGATAGGTGGACCTTTATTGATTCAACTCAGTTTTCCAATCTGTTTTTTATACACGCACATGCATTTTCTGTTACACAGTTACATACACACAGTTATATTCGTCAAGTCCCTACAGACTGAACCACTGCCGCCCAACAGAGGTCGAAGGGATCTATATAATCTACAGACCCTAGTACATCTTCCTTATCATTTATTGTTTGATGCCACTGTGGTCAACAGTTTGAAGGCTCAATATGAAGTGACAGCCAGGTTTGGATAGATATGCTTAGCAAAGGAAAGGGCACAGAACAGGAAATAGTCTGGTTTATTCAGTCCAAATGTTGCAAAATCTAAAATTAACTAATTAACATCTACAGTGGAGGAAATAAGTATTTGATCCCCTGCAGATTTTGTAAATGTACACTTAGTCTGTAATTTTAATCGTAGGTTTATATAAACAGTGAGAGTAAGAATATCAAAAGGAAAATCCAGAAATGTACATTATATAAAAGATAAAAATGTATTTGCATTAAACTGTGGGAAATAAGTATTTGATCCCCTTGCAGAACATGTGTTAGTACTTGGTGGAGAAACCCTTGTTGGACGCACAGAGGTCAGACGCTTCTAGTTGGTCTCCAGGTTTGTGCACATCTCAGGAAGGATGTTGGTCCACTCCTTTCTGAAGATCCTCTCCAAATCCTTCAGGTTTTGAGGCTGATGCCGGGCATCTCGAAGCTTCAGCTCCCTCCACAGATCTTCTATGGGATTAAGGTCCAGAGACTGGCTCCATCACCTAAATGTGCTTCTTCTTTAGCCACTCCTGTGTTGCCTTGGCCGTATGTTCAGGGTCATTGTCCTGCTGGAAGACCCATCCATGACCCATTACAGTGTCCTGGCTGAGGGAAGGAGGCTATCGGCCAAGATTGTACGGCCCCGTACATCCTCTCCTCGATGCAGGGAAGTCCTCCTGTCCCCTTAGCAGAGAAAACCCCCAAAGCATAATGTTTCCACCTCCATGCTTGACGGTGGGGATGGTGTTCTGGGATTATAGTCAGCATCTCTCTTCCTCCTTCTACCAAGCCTTCTCTGAATCATTCAGATGTTCATTGTCAAACTTCAGACGGGCCTCTCATGTTCTTCTTGAGCAGGGGGGCCTTCAGGCGCTGCAGGATTTGATCCATTATGGTGTAGTGTGTTACCCAGGGACGTGCACAGACATTTGGAGGGGCTATTGCTCTAAACTGGAAAAAGAGCCTCCCCCCGAAAAAAACACAAGACCTTTTGAAAATTGTAACTTGTTTTTAATAGAAACCAAACGATTATTACATCAACTAAATTGAACAGTGATTCACATCTCATAACAAAATAACCTAAGGCGAGTACTTGCATTCGGTGACTTGATTTTAAAAATGTTTTGCGGTCCATATCTCATTAAAATATCTAACTATTAAAGATAAAATAGGGACAATTCTGTTCTAATGTAGTATGTCTGCACATCAGTTACAATGGTAACTGCTGTGCAGACATACTGATAAAATAGAGCCTCTAACTAATTACCTTAAATAAACTCACTAACTAATGAAACCAGTTCAAGACGCATTATTCTTATTCTTATCATTCTTTATGAGCGCAGTAACGGTAAGGTATCTAATTACTTAGTTATTTAGTATTCCATAACTTAGTAACAGAGATGGTCAAACTAAAGTGGTAGAGACATGGCAGAAATCCTACACTGAAGCGGGACATTGAATTGTTCACCCGTGAGAGGGCGATCAAGAAAAGAGAGAGAGAGTGGCGCGTTGAGGGAGTTCATCCATCCATCTTCTCCCGCTTATCCGTGGTCGGGTCGCGGGGGTAGCAGTTCCAGCAGAGAGCCCCAAACTTTCTTTTCCCTGGCGACATCAACCAGCTCTGACTGGGGGATCCCAAGGCGCTCCCAGGCCAGCGAAGAGATATAATCCCTCCACCTGGTCCTAGGTCTACCCCTTGGTCTCTTCCCAGCTGGACGTGCCTGGAACACCTCCCTAGGGAGGCGCCCAGGTGGCATCCTACATAGGTGCCCGAACCACCTCAACTGGCTCCTTTTGACGCGAAGGAGGAGCGGCTCAACTCCGAGTCCCTCCCGGATGACCGAACTTCTCACCTTATCCCTAAGGGAGACACCAGCCACCCTGCGGAGAAAACCCATCTCGGCCGCTTGTATCCGCGATCTCGTTCTTTCGGTCATGACCCATCCTTCATGACCATAGGTGAGGGTAGGAACGAAAATGGCCCGGCAGACAGAGAGCTTTGCCTTCTGGCTCAGCTCCCTTTTCGTCACAACGGTGCGGTAAAGCGACTGCAGTACCGCTCCCGCTGCTCCGATTCTCCGGCCCATCTCACGCTCCATTGTTCCCTCACTCGAGAACAAGACCCCGAGATACTTGAACTCCTTCACTTGGCGTAAGGACTCATTCCCTACTTAGAGTGGACAGTCCATCGGTTTCCTGCTGAGAACCATGGCCTCAGATTTGGAGGTGCTGATCCTCATTCCAGCCGCTTCACACTCGTTGAGGGAGTTTACAGATGAAAAGACACAGAAAGACAGAAGCACAACAACAACAAGTAGGCTATATTTAGGTGTTTTTTTGTAAATAACCGACGGTATCAAGAGGAAGTTAAGTCCCCTGGTTTATCCCTTATACCCTAACTGCCATGAGTCAACTCAAAATCAAGTTTCCCAAATCCGACACTGAGGTGGTCTTAACGCACCGGCAGATGACAGCGCTGACAAAGTGTGTTTCCCGCAGCGAGACGCTACAATACTAATTGTGGGCTCATCATGTTGATTCGGCCACAACAGAAAACAGAAAAACAAACTCTCGCTCTCTCCAGAGGGGCAGGTCAGCCAAAAAGGCCAAACGGGCCGTTGTCCGGGCAACATTAGCCCATACCTGTGCATGTCCCTGGTGTTACCAATAGTTTTCTTGGGGACCCAGCTGCCTTGAGATCATTAACAAGTTCCTCCTGTGTAGTTCTTGGCTGATCCCTCACCTTTCTCATGACCATCAATACCCCACGGGCCAGATCTTGTGTGGAGCTCCAGCTATTGATGCTCATTGTGTCTTTCTTCCATTTCTGAATAATGGCACCAACAGTTGTCTCCTCCTCACCGAGCTGCTTTCGGATGGTCTTGTAGCCAATCCCAGCCTTGTGGAGGTCTACAGTCTAGTCCCTGAGGTCCTTAGACAGCTCTTTGGTCTTGCCCATGGTGGAGAGGTTGGAATCTGATTGGTTGATTCGGTGGACAGGTGTCTTTTATACAGGTAACAAGTTGATATTAGGAGTACTTTTTTTAAAGGAAGACAACTTATTTAACCGGTCCGTGGGAGCCAGAATCCTTTTCTTTACAAGGGGATCAAATACTTATTTCCCACAGTTAAATGCAAATACATTTTTATCTTTTATATAATGTCAATTTCTGGATTTTCTTTTTGATATTCTTACTCTCACTGTTTATATACACCTACCATTACAATTATAGACTGTTCATTTATTTGTAAGTTGGCAAACTTACAAAATCTGCAGGGGATCAAATACTTATTTCCTCCACTGTATGTCAAGATGTTCAAACAACAATTTGTAGTTTTGCAAGTGACTGAATGTTGTTCAGTCACCTTCACCCCCCAACCCCCCGGCCGAGCAATAGACAAATGATCTCTGTCAATCTGTTCATTTCTATTTGATCATACAGTTGAATCCACATGGTGTTTGAATGTGATGGATTCACTAGCCTGTGACCTACCAAATATGTACAGTTTTGGATTTAACAGAGCCAGCGCTGAACGCTCCGGAGTCTTCGTTTGTTTCTGTATTGCTTTGACTTGACGCTGTGAACCTGTTTTTATCATGCTTGTTTCATGCAGTGAACTGTTCAGCCTTGTACCAGCTGTGCCTTCAATATTGTGTGACATATGTACAGTATTAAGCTTTACACCAGGTTGTAAAACATTCCAGGTTAAAATGCACAAAAGCTTTTTGTTCTTAAATGGATCCTGTTATTTTCATAGAGTACATAAGAGAAATGTATTCTCAGTGATTTGCTTTTGATTTGTCTATTAAACTGTCAATGTTTTGGAATAAATGGAATTACTTTTCAGAATAACTATATTCATTATGATTGTTAATGCACACACAACTGCTGCATAGTCTGTATTTGAAAAATATATATTGATAAGAAATACTGCCATTTTCATGCCTGGTTCACACACGTGTTCAGACATAAGGTTAAGACTCATCTTCAGTTCATTAATACATTTGAAAACCTTTGACAGTTTTACAATGATAAATATTTATTTATGTTCCCTTCCCTCAGCAATAACCCTTAGTACTTTCCTCTATTTCCACTTTACGATACCACGTGTTTGTGTCCAGCTTGACATTCTGCTTCTTCTCTTCCAGTAAGTGAAGTAAATCAGGTTTAGGGAATGGCTGATTGTATTGCACATGTGAATCTGGCATAGTGGGCTAAATGCCCTTCTCCTTTTCCAAAGACTTTAGCATACCAAGAAGAGCTGGCACTCTGATTGTAAGGTCGCTGAAGCTTCTGGAATCATCCGGATAAACAGAGTACAAAAGAAGTTGGTGTGGCTGCCCATATCTCTGCTGTAGATCTGACATAGTTCTGGTGTAAGAAATGGGGATATGTGCAGAGCCCAGAGCAAGGCGACAAGCTGTGTCCAACTTCAAGCGGTACAATTATGCGTGGTACTTAAACTGTTCGCTGTCACCGTGGAGCAAACTGTCTGGGATCATCACGGATGAGGTATGGCACTGTTGGACCTGAGTGATTGATGGAAATGAATAAGTGTGGTTAACAGAAGGAGGAGCAGCCTGTGAGGAAAACTGCTCTGCAGGAACTGGAGACGGCTGACGAAAGGTCAAGGGAGCATTGGGCTGCTTGGAAGAAGGTTCTAGATGATTCACAGCAGTTTGAGGATGCACTTCAGAGACTAGTGAGTAGGGGTTCACAAGCTGCAGGGCTTGTGAGGAGGCTAAGAGGTCTAGCTTCTCTTTGCACAGGGTGCTGCATTTTGGAGGACTCTGTCTCACTGTAGGTATGCCGGGATTGAAGGCAACTTTAAGAGATTATGGAGAAGGCCTGAATGTATGAGGCGCAGCCAATGAATTTTCTCGAACGAGATCAAAGACAGGTGGGTGCAGCCTTTCTGGATTTCTGTTGCAGATCTTCCTGGAATCTGGAAAAATAAGAAACCCAACTGAATGGTAAATTATTATTCTCGTCATTACATCATGTCAGAGGAGGGCAAAACAGAGAAACAGTGTGTGTGTGTGTGTGTGTGTGTGTGTGTGTGTGTGTGTGTGTGTGTGTGTGTGTGTGTGTGTGTGTGTGTGTCAACACAACTGTTTTTGGTTATATGTCAATAACAGGAGAACATTTGTCTACAGCACCAGATTTTAGTCTTGTACTTTTATTAATTTGTGTCCAAAAGTCAGACATTTTCCAAGACAGTAAGATGAAGTTCAAGGCTCAGAAAGCGAGTTAGG